TGGTTGTCAAGGTGATCTACATGCCTCCTTGCATCACAGTTGTTTTTCTAAAAACTGAGTTCAAAGACTAATAGTATGTAACTCCATAAAAATCTAAAAATTAACTTCAAAGAGTTCAGACACTAGCAAGTGAAACAACAAGTAAAAGATCAAACAACCTCAAGTATTTTGATAGTGAGTGCTTACACCAAGACCTTTAGTATGGATCACTCTAAAGAGACTACTAAATGTATAACCTATGCTATAGATATTTCCAGCATTGAAGCAGATAGCTGACGCACCTATATGAGATTTGAATAAGGTTCTAAAATGAAAATGACTGGGAATGGAAGACGGGATGGGAGACTTCGTAAAAGGCATAGGGGCATCTGCATTGGGCATCTTATTTGAGAAGACAATGGGATATACATGTAGTTCATGGAGTGACATCATTCTGGTATCACATGGCCTTCTTGAATTTAAACCAACCTACCAACCCACCTACCGACCTACTTGAAAACCTGTCTACACTAACTTGAAAATGACAAATAAAACCATGAAAAATTGATATACTTTGAGTGTACCAACTGTGAACATGAGAGCATTGCACCTAAGTGAGGAAATGTTCCTGGGGAGAAAACTTCTCTGTAGCTTTGTCTTGCACGAATATTGAAATCTCTGTTTTTTACATTTTTTGTTTGAGAGAAGTAAGCAAAATAGGTGTTGAACACAAAGGGGATTCATGCAAGTTTGAACATTTGAACTCTTAAATATAGAAATAGTTAAAGGAAGGAAAGTCCAAGTGATTTTGATGTATTTTTGAGTTATAAGTATGTAATTAGATCAATCGAAAACATGTGTTTTACAGCAACATAACAACAAGGTTTCTAATGAGAAATCATCATAAAATTGACCACTGCCAAGACAACGAGAGACACCAAAAGAAAACATCAAATTAAGAAAACAAATCAATTGATTGATATGTGATTAATCTTTCATTGAAGTAACATCAAATGACCTCAGTCTAGGAATAAAATGTTATAACAATCATTTTTATGATTTTTGTTTCAATTCATCAAAACACAATATAAAATAAATGAGTAGAATTTGAAGACATGAAGTAAGCACTCCAAATAAATAGCATATGGAAAGGCCAGAAACTTTGGATTCCAGTGGTAGAGTTTAAGAATATTTTGGGGAATAAGCATGAATCACTTTCAGGACATTTAGATGAAGAGAACATCAAATGACCCCAAGATTAAAGAAGAAACCTTACAGCAACTTTTAATCATAACAATAGAGCATGATTCAAAAGAACATTTGAGTACCAAAAAACAAAATTGCAAAAATACAACAAATTATGTCTTTCACTTTTGCACTTGCTCAAATTATTGTCTGATTGTATTGAGAAAAAGTATATATGTGGATTCTAGAAAGGAACAAACCCACATCCTTTATCACTGTTCCTTATTCTGTTACAATAACAACAACCATAGTGTGCATCCTGATTGATGAAAATATCATCATGGTCATGTTTTCAAAGTCAAAATGGAGCAGAAAAGAGTGGAATAGACAAGGAATAACGTACATGGACATGTAGGTAACACTATGAATTATACATAGATGCAAGAAAATCAGACACTTCATTCAAATTTTAGAGAGAAATGGTATGAAATACGCATGAGCAGACGGACATTTGAAAGGCCAGATGAGTGAATCCATCAGCAAGTATACTTGATTTGGTTACAATAACATTAAGTGTGAATTCCATCATATCTATGTATTCACTTTCATATGATCCCATGGGAAATATTGACTCAATATTCTTGTACACATCTTCATGCATGTTCATAGGGCCCCATTTCTCTTGATCAGCCATATTGGTATTGAGTGTGTCACTTGTCACTATAGCAGCTTCAACCCCAAGGAAGCAATCGGCGAAACCCATCCTTCATCAAAAAACATCATTGCTCTTTTATTTCATAGAAAGAGGTGAAATACCCTTGGACCAAAGATGATTAAGCCAAGATTCCTTGTGGTTTTTGTAGTTTATATTATCGTGTTTGCACCAAGTATAATCTAGATGCCACTTTACCATTCACTGATTTCAGAGTCTGCTTCAAGGCTGTAGTGAGGCATACTGGATCAAGATGGGATGAATACATCCAGGTTGAAATGTATGTAGACAATATGTTTCCCAGAGAGGCAACCAACCTAGCTTCCTCTTGTTAATTCAAAATCTTTCTTTGACCTTGCTCCATTCCGATTATTATAAGGTTGTTCCTCATACATGTGTTAAATCTGGCAGGTTGACATAAGAATACGACAACATGTTTCTCAGGAAGGTGACCCACCTAGCCATTTCAATGGGACTTAGTTCTTTCAAAACCTGTTCTTTTAGGGAAGTATTCTGCATAGACATGTTTAATCTTGCATGTAAAGAAATACTAGTAACTTGATGTTTTGAATTTGGGTACCCTTTGGTTTTTCTTCTTTAAAAGAGAAACATATCTCTCCTGATTACAACTCTGATACTCAGGGTAGAATTTGGGTTAAGATCTGCTGCAAGGCTTTGCCAGGTTATACCTACACAGGTAAAATATATATGTACACAATCTGTTCCACAGAGAAGCAACCAAGGTATCTGGAGTGGTAGACTGTTATCAAGAAAGGCCAACAAAGATAAGTCAAAGCCTGGTATTTAAAACAACTTCTGGTCAACATATTGAATTGCTGGAAGATCTAACTGGAAATGTTTATGGAGAACTCTAGTAAGGTCATGATTTGGTATTTTCACATATGTATGTGCTTGGTTTTGTTTAGGATTCGATCATTTGATTTCCTCAATATCACCAGGAATTCCAAAAGAAACTGGATTTTCTGGTGTTTCAAGACATGCCACACATTGTTGTCCTATTTTGTAGTTTAAATGAGATTGTGATTTAGTGTCTTCACAGGCACTGTGGTTCTTATTGCCTTCATGTATCTTAATCTATTTCTCAAAAGCAGATTAGGTATCCTTAAAAGCCTGACTGTTCATGCTGATTCTATAACATTTCTCGCTGAAATTTGAATAACTTGACTGATTTTTTATTTCATTACAATTCAGAGTATTGATGTTTTGTTTAATTCTCATTGTTTCTATGGTTTTCCATCTTATTTCCGATTTTAATAAATTACCATTTCAATATTTTTCAAAGGGTTCTACCAGATAAATGTGTTGACATGGAAACCATAGGGGACATCCTTCAGTCTGCTGCTTAATCCCTGGTAACCATAGTAACTGTTTATGACACCTGTAGCCAAGCTGTAACCAAGGTAATTGTCCCTGTGGCATACTGGGAACTAATGGGAAAAAGCATAGATGATTATGTTTTCAAACATGGAAAAAGATAAAATATAACACAATTTGCAAAGAATAAAGTAAACAGGCATGTAGTCAACACTTCAAATTCCATGTTTATAGAAAATGCCAGAAAATCAGACACTTCAATCAAATTTAAGAAAGAAATGAGTAGAAAATCATGACCCCATTGTGACATTTCAAGAAAAAATAGCAGAGTTTCCTTCCAGATGGTTGCTAGTTTTCTTCACTGAATCAGAGTCCAAAACTCTTGACATTCCTCAAATTGAAAATAATATCACTAATCAAAGATATATCCTAGTATAACAGACAGATACAGAAAACAACTCAAATTGGGTTGACAGGCCATGGGTAGGAGGAACATTCTGTTGTGACTATGCACTATACTGTGATGGAAACTGCCAAGTGAAGTCCCAAAGTGGACAATAATTATCACTACATCTCCCATGTTAAAACACTTTAAAACATTTTAATGAGTGAGTCCATAATTAAACTCAGCTGAATGTAATCCCCATTGAAGGCTTTTGAGGTGATACTTTCCAATGGTATATTTCATTGAAAACATGTTTGGGGAAGATAATTCATCAGCCTCATTTCCAGGATGTATGATCGAATCCTACTCCATATGCGATTCGGAGGGAATGTTTTCCGAATCCGAAGTATATTTCCGTGATTCGCAGGAAAATGGAACTGGAATTAAAATACTCATCAGTCAACATCCGACCACATTTCCTGAACAAAGATTCTAATTTTAGGGTTTTCTACCACAATGGCATACAATTACCAAATGATTTATGCTCCAATCCTAAATATTGGTCAACCAAATATTAAGGTTATCATGACCTGGTATATTTTCTGACCAGTTTGGTTTAGGGGAATAACTCATCTGAGCTAAATGGTGGGAATATCTGAAATCTTGGGTTCTTTTGTCAGTTCAGTATAGAACTGTAAGAATTTGTGAAGCATTTGTAGTAGAGCAGATACACACCATACAAATTTATAGTATACACATTCCAGACTTTTAGAATCATATTCATTGAAGTACAGCTTTTTGAGGTTTGGTAAATATGGTTATAATTATGCAACAATGGCATACATTTTCTGGGTTATTAAGGATCATCTTTTGAGAGTTCCTGGTTCATGGTTTAAATCTATCCAGTACCCATAATGCAACTCGTCATATGTTCAGTTCCAAAAGATTTCTCTCAAAGTGTGTCCACTTCCTGGTTAGGTGCTATTATTGCATGTACATGTTTATCAAGTTCTAATGTGTCATAGTTAACACCATCAACAACTCTAATCCCTTCCTTCCTTCCAGCATTATTCTTCAATGGATTAATAATCTTGACAGCTTTAGATTTGATGACTCATAATCACCTTGTTGCATCAACCATTATATTTGGGAAAATGGGGAAAGAGGGGAGGGGTGTAACATTTGAGTTTCAATAAATTACTGAACTTGGATTGTTGAGGTAGGTTAAATAATATGACTCTACTCTCAATAGTCTAGCATCGCGTTCTCTCCAGGATGATGTGTATTGTCTACTTGCTAAAACTGGGGACATCACTTATAAATGTTACAGATGAATCCCAAAAACCTCTGAGAAAGACATATAAGGGGTGTTCAAAAACTTCCAGAATATAATTCACCACTTACCATCAAATTTAGCAGCCCTTGAGATGAAGGAAGTTCGGATTACTGATAAAGTATCCGCCATTGCTTTATTAAATACTTCTTCACTTTTCTTTGCGAGATTATCCTCCATTTGCCGCGTGCAGCATGTGTAACCCTGTGGGCAGATCTGTAGGTGCTCTCCTGGAATGGAGGAAGGAAAGTTATATAAAGATTTTGATCAATTTATAGAACCTCATAAAAATCAGCTCATTTGTCCGGACGTCGCAGAGAAAGGGTATTACAGACAATGCTTCACATTGTCTAGGTTAACTTCCACCTTCCTTGAAAATAACAACAGAAATGTGATCAGCAATTTGTATTCTGTATCAGGCTCTGAAATAAAGCATGATGAACTACCAGTGATAGAAAACCAATTTATATTCATCATAAATACTACTAGGGTAATCCTGTAGAAATGTCAGGGGTTATACTATAATGGAGACAATTATAGAAGAATTAGAAAGATATCAAAAGATATATCGGTTATCTCACTAGAATTTTTTTCCTTAACTATGCAGAATTAGAATCTTTCTGTAAAGCTTTGAATTTGTCCAAATAGAAAATGACTAAAATGGGAATTCTTTTTAACATTTTCCAAAGGGTGTTTGTCATCTTGACTAGTCTTTATAGAATTGTATTTATTTTTATCTTGCAGCGAGTTTCTCTGGTTGTTATTACCAAAATCGCCAGTTTTGAGGATTGTCTTCGATGGAACTGTTTCAATGTTTAAAATCAACTTTCCCACTAATTTGGCTGTTTTTTATTATTCATTGCCTGTTGTTCAAAATTGTGATGAAACCCATGTTTCGTTATCTCAGTATCTTTCTACAGAAAGGCAATTGGGAGTACTCAGTATGAAAGCATTTTGAATTCAAAAAACAAGGAGTCATTATCCGATATGAAGATGTCTCCCATGAGGGACTGGGAAAGAGCAACCTGAGAGATAAAGTACAATAAAGGACTATCCAAAAGATACTGCCTCTTTCAAGATTCCTAACTAAAAATGTCATCTGCTGATGCTATTTTACTTCATTTTTCTCTAAAATTTGATTGAAGTGTCAGAATTTTTGACATTTCTGTACAATTTAGAGCATTGCCAATGTAGCTGAATAATTTATTCCTCACAATTTTCACTATTTTCCACCTTATTTTGCGTTTTAAATCATGAACATCATGACATTTCTTTACACAGAGATCCAATTGAGTTATTGTTAATCAATAGACAATAGTTTCACAGAGACTGCCTAATCAGCATTCATCCCGAAAATAAAATATGATGACGGTCATGTTTTGAAACATGGAATAGTGCATAAAAGAGAGGAATCAGCAAGAAATAAACTATACTGGAATGTAGTTAACACTCCAAATTATACAGAAATACAAGAAAATGAGATAGTTCTTTCAAATTTTAGAGAGAAATCGAGTAGAATAAACACAAGCAGACGGATGTTTTAGAAATGCCTAATCAGCATTCATATATCATCCACCACAAATCTAATTCAATCACTAAGAAAATTTCATTAATAACTGTCCAAGGGAGCTATTTTCTAAAAGATTTTTCACTCAAAGAAAAGAAATTATTTTCCTGTGTAGAAGTTATTGCAACTTTCACTGTTTGATATTTCAAGCAAGCATGGCCATGCTCAATAGCATCAACTGGAATGTCAGTGTTTTTCTCCTCCTCAAAACCTAACCCATTTAAAATAATCAATTGTTGAATGTTTTGTGAGCTTGCTATTGATAACAATCTTGGATTAAAAACATGTAACCTTAGTTAAAGTGGTGCTTTAACTTAAGTTTAAAACTAAATTGCAAGATAAAAAACAGATTCCGAATCTAAAGAAAATGAGGCTTAACTTTATGAAACAAACTGATTTGAAATTTGCCTAACACAGCCCTTCTACCCTTCACTTCTTCCATGTTGTTGAAAGATGTATATATTCATACAATCCTAATACTCAAGGAATAGAGATAACTCAACTAGAAATCTTTATCTCCATCTGACCTGTTACCATGGAAACCAACACATCTGTCAAAATAACAGACTTGCTTGAGAGAAATCCCAGAAACCAAAGTTGTCTAAAATACATGATTTTCATTGAGTGTAGAAGTCGCTCAAGTGTGATGTGCTTCTTAAAAGTTCAAAACATCTCAGAAAAAATTCTGCAACTGATGAGAGAGATACATCAGCTGTTTGTGAGCTAGCATTACATTTTTTCCTCATCTCTGAAAAACATCCCCCCTAATAATCCTCCATGCATATTTTCCTATCAAGTAAGGATCAAATCAATACAGTAAATCCTGTGTATATTGAATATATTATTTCTGAGAAAAAATGTTTATTGTTGGTAGGTGTTCACTACAGAGAGGGTAATTTATACAGAAGTCAGTAGAGTATATAGTATATAGTAGAGTAAAGAGGAAGATTGTGTAGTAAGATGCAGGTGTTCACTAGAGAGAAGTGTTCACTAAGTCATGTTCTGCTACATATCATATATATGAATTTCAGCCTGCATCCTTATAAAGTTTTTGTGTGATCAGTGGTAAGAATGTTCAATCATGACTGCTTTAGAGTAAAACTTTCAGTCTTCAAATGAGCAAGACAATTTTGATTTTCATTTATGACGTAACTATGGCAATATCGTAAAAATAAATGAAGTTGGAATTGCATTATTTTCGAGAAACTGAATTCAGACAAGTCTATGCCTCAAAAATGAGAGCAAAATTAAACTTGAAGGGATCTGTACCATTTTGTAATTTTCTCATGTAGAAGTATTTACCTAAGTGCTGAATATTTAGGTCACTATGGATACCACTGCTTGGGGTTACCAAGGAAACACTTCAGATACCTTATCGAGAGATCAATTGAATTCCAAGTACTTGGAAACTTAGTCCTTTTTTACTTAAAACTCCCAATAGTTTGCTATTTTGGAAATGTCCATTTGGTGTTTATGGGTTAGTTGATGTGAAAAAACGATTATCAATAATATCAGAAAGAGAGGATCAATATTGATCAATCGAATCGGAGGTGATTTCTAGCGATTATATTGGTGCATCAAGCAATCTTGGGATCCCTACTAGATGCTCAAAAGGGCACAAAGTTGTGTACAAACCATAGAATTCCCTCAAGGAGGAAGCAGTCTAAGATCAAACACTTCTTGCAAGTTTTTTTGTTAAATGTCAAATAAAGGCTTGAAAATAAAAAACTGATGAAAGGATGTAAAGAATACATGTTGGACATGTTTTAGGAGCCAAAAATAGTAAAGAATTGAAATATAATCATTTATGCCAATGTTTCCATAAAACCCAAATGAACTCTGAAGATCTGACATTTCTATATTATAATTCAAAATATGAACAACATATACTGTAGATTGGGTTAATTTGGCGCTACTTAATTTGGCGATTTTGCCATTTTTGGCATATTGGCGGCTATTTAATTTGGCGAACATGCAAAAAAACAAACAATTAAAATTAATTTTTTTTTTAAATTATAATTAATATTCACCACGTTTGTAAATTTTTGTGAGATCATCCTTTACATTTTGCACCTCGATCAATGCTGCTACTATACCGCGCTTTTCCTTTCTAGTTTTTCCCTGAGTATTATTGAGTGACTGACCAGTTCTGAGCCAATTTATGAGAGACATTTTTTCATATTTTTGGAAAAACTAAACCGGAAGTGACCTAAATACACTGGACGAAATACCCTAGATAATTCCCGGGGATTCATTCTAAATTTTGGCGAAGATTTATATTGGCGAATTTTTCAATTTCGCCAAATTCGCCAAATTAAAGCGGGCGCCAAATTAACCCAATCTACAGTACTTGGTTATCTTTTTCATTCCTCTTCTCAACTTAGAAACAGTTTAAAACATGATTAACCATTTCAAGTCTTAGTTGCACAAAGCAAAAGTCAGAACATATGAGAAAAAGTTGAAAACTGAAACATTGAAACTTGAATTCTCCCTTTTTCCATTTTGAAAGGGATTTCAACATAATCTTCAGAAGTTCTGTTTTGCTCATCTACTACAAGAAAAATATCTAAATAAGTCAGAATTTCAAATTTGATGAAAACTTCCTGGTAAGCTAGGGCAGAAACCATGATGGAATATCTTGAAGTTATGTTTTAAAATGCAAAATAGAGTGAATAAGAGTGAAATCATTGAGAAATAAAGTAAACAGGGATGTAGTGAACACTTTAAATTGTAAAGAAATGCTTAAAAAATCTGACACTTCATTCAAATTTTAGAGAAAAACAGTGAAAAATAAATCGAAATGATCACAAACAGACAGACATTTCAGACAAAGTTACTGATAGGATATTGATGGAGAGGTTATACAGGAAAGAAAAGTATCCATGGAATGTAATCTGAGACACCACTCTAATCCACATCAAAGGTGGCCATTTTGTTCAAATCATGATGAACCTGGAGACCTTTGAGTAATTGCAATGCAATTAGATTATTCTCTTACTCCAGTTACAACTTCATTTGAGCACTTGAACATCCCTGGAAACTAAACACAAAATCAAGGTAGAAAAAGGCGTTCACAGTAAAACCTGTCTAAGTAGAACATCTTTGGTACCTGCAAAAGAAGCGTTTGGGAGGTGTTCCACATATAGAGATTCATTTAACATAAAGTCAGTTGGTCTTGGGACTCTGAAAAGTGTTCCACACATATGTAGTATGTGTAACAAATTACAACTTTTCATACAGGGACTTTCTTTGGTATTTCATCCTCTGATCACAGGGCTTCAAAATCCAGAATATATTCTTTCTTTTTACCCCCTGCGATAAGCAGTTAGCATTTCCCCGATTAAGAACTCGCAATCTGATTGGCTGTCGCAACACTGCGACAGAAATCATGTATAAGTCATTGCTTTTGTCATATCTGTCAGTTTTGTCATATATGGACCTTTTTATTATGTTATATAGGGACTTTGCCACTAGTATACAGACTTTTAACTCCTATGATGTGAACATTGTACTCATTCACTTTCCTGCAGCAGTTTTGGCAAACTTCAGAGCCAAAACAACAGTTATTGTTAAGGTTATTACTGACTCATAATGTGATGTTTTGTTTGGACCAGGCTATACAACATGTTTATTCAATCACGATCATCATGGTGGCCAGATTTC